TTAATTTTTAACTGTTAAAGTACTTTTTCTTTTCATTTAAACAAATTTAGAAAATATAATTTTTTTGTAAAAAGAAAAATCCTTATTTTTCCTTAAATTATTCAATTTAAAGTAATAAAAAATAAAATTTACATTTTCTAAGTTCTATAGAGTAGATAATAAGAGAAAATTTCGCTAATTCTCTATATCTATAGCGTTAAATCAAAACCTTATAAAGTAATGGTAATTGTTTTAAAAGAAAATTAAATGATTTTGTTATTAAAATTTTATTTTATTATGTTGTTTAGCAATCTAATTGCAAATTTAATATGAAATAAGAGAATTTGTGATGAAAATTTTTTAAAATGAAAATGTTATATTTAGGGAATGTTTAACAAACACCCGATAAAGCTATGTAACCATGGCATTTCGGATTAATTTAGAGCTATCGTTGGATTAAGGGTTTTTTTATTATTCAAAGAAAAATATTCATAAAGCAAATATTAGTCTGTATTTTTCTAATGGTTTTACAAACAGAGAGGTTCTTACAGGGAAAACTAAAAACTTATGAAATAATAACCTTTATTTTGATTGCATAGGGGCATTTAAGGATCTATGAGAAAGTTTTGTATCATCATTATTGTCGCATTCATCTTTTAATCTTTAGAGATCCTGATATTTTTAAAACCATTCACTTCTTTTACTCCATACGATCTTGAATATATGTAATTAAAAATAGGCATTTGAAGGATACGGTTGTGAAAATATAAATTATAACAGTTAATGATATTATGGCGACAAGCTCTTGTTTTCCTTTCACAAAAATTTTTACTAATTTCCAATGAAAAATCGTTTTTTATCAACAAAAATTTCTATATTGTTTGCATTATGAAATTTGCAATACATCTCGGAATTACAACATATCAATTTTTAAGAGAATTATTTCCGAAACTATTTTTGAAAGAAGCAGAATTTTAAGCTGAATCTTGTTGTTGAATAACTAAAAATTCTATTCATTTAAAAGATTAAAAAGAGAAAAATTAATTGAATTCAAAACACTACAAAATAATATGACAAGATTTGTAAGAAACCAAATTTCATTACATACAAAATTTTGGTCTATTTTTAGACTTAAGCATATACGTAAATGTTCGACTCAATTATCGGTATGTTTTTAATTGAAACCAGATTATTCGAATGGTAAGGTTCAAGAAGTTTTACAATTCGTTTATTGTAACTGCATAAATGACCAATGTTACTTTAATGTTTTATTTCTGCTTTTCTCAAACTCTTTCAACGACTGTCAAGTTCAATGATAATGTACAATATTTTGTTCATCGATTTCTAAAAATTTCTAGTAAACAAAAAAAAGGTAAAATAACCAAGCTGTTGAAATTTATAAGATTTTTTTTTCCAAATATAACAATCAAAAAAAAAATATAAAAATTTTCTTTTAAAAATCAAGTTCTTCTTGGAAAACGTACATTTATTGAAAATGCAAATCCGTTTTTGACTCTTTCACTGAAAAATAATAAAAATTCTTTCCTTTCTATATAAATTACCATCATTTCTGTATTACTGTTATTATTATACAATCTTCAAGTCACTTACTTGCGAAAGAATTTGAAAACATGATACAGGGTAGACATATAAGGTAAGCAAGTTGGAAAGTAGAAGAGGATGAGAAATAAATGTAATTCTCGTTATACCAACAAATTTTTGAACATTGCTTGGTCATCACAATATTTTACATTCAATTCAAAATTATGTTGTATTGTAATAACAGATATAAAATTGTAACCTAAAAGTATGCAGTAAAATACATAATTAAAGTATAGCCATGAAAGTGGCATTGATTAATTTAATTTTTTTCCATGTTTTTTCTATTTTGAGAGAAACTCCAGGGCATTATTCAGAGAAATTGTAAGGAAACTTACACACACACACATATATGCTGTGGTATTTATCGTTATTCATTTGCAAAATCGAAATAATTTACATTCATAATTGTTTTTTAAATATTATTTTACCCTTTCAGTGATTTTCCGAATTACTATATCGCCTTCACTTTATTACTATATATACAATGTGATATACACTTTTATAATTATTATTTGATTTAATTTTAAATCTTTTTTTCAAGTTAACAAGATCCTTTTTGGAATTTTATTTCGCTGATTTAATTTTTTACTGAACAATTTCATTCGGAAGTTTAATGCATTTTTGGTAAATGATTTACACTACATCGCATAAAGTATGTGGAGAATAAATTGGAATAAATCTGAATACCCAGACGTATGTGTACATAAATTTAACTTTTATTTTTATCATAATAAATCTTCATTTTATATAAGTAAAATAAACGTTACCTTTTTCACCCAATTTTAAATTATTTTGTATTTTCGGTGGTGTCATATACAGGGTGTCAAATTTATAAGTGTATTGTTTTACATCATTGTTATACACCATGATTAATAAAAATTTTGTATATAGATAATGTTGACAGAGTTTCATGCATTTTATTGTAAAAAGTACAATGTGTGTAGGTGTATAACAATTTATTCAATTGTGTCATTAATATTATAAAATCTGGATGATTTAGCAACAACCGCTTTTACTTTTGGTTTTACCTTTTAGCTTTTTGCAATAGTACTCTTTTTGTTAGTATATTTTATTTCAGCATTTTAGCTTTTCGCACTACAGACACTTTGCAAATTTTTTGATAAAATAATTAAAAATGTAAATAGGATCTTGATGCAACAGAGCCCAGCTGCATTCTATGTAAATTAATAGTTTAAATCTCAAAAATTCTTGAATTTTCAGGAATATGTCGAGCATTACAAAATTTTTGAATGCGACACAAAAAATAAATTAAATTTGACTGGATTAAATGACCGAATTAAGTGACTGAAGTTTTAATCCAAGATATTAAAATGAGTCATAAATGGGCTGATATTTTCCGACCATTACTTTTCAGTCATTACACATGACACGTACGTAATATACTTTATGTGATAAATGGATCATAAGTACCATAATACTCTAGTGATATTTCAGAACATTACTTTTTCTATAAATTTTTCAATATTTTTAAATATTTTCAGAATTTAATTTTATTTTTACGATATACATATTTTATTCTAGTAGGTACAAATTTATTACATAAATAAATATAAATAAATTTTATACAGTAAATTTCTGTTCTTAATTAAGACAAACATCCGGTTTAAGCTTACACTCTTTTATTATTTTTATGTTGAATGTTAAATTGAACAATAAATTTTTATAAAGTCCAAATTAATTTATATACATGTATGCATGTCTATATGTTTGAACAAATGGCATTCCTTACCTTGTACATTCATTCTACATTTCAGAGTTAAAATATTACAAAACACCGTATTTATATTACGCAGAATCATTCAGCGACCATACAAATAAAGCTACTCCCGATTAATTTAATTTAAATGTCGTAGCATAAATTTTGTAAATCTTTATTATTACACACACACACGGATTGTATAAGAATGAAATATATTATACAATTCTGAGACATCTGTGAAACCATTTTGTGACCCAGAAAAAGTTGTTTAACTCTATCTAATTTAAAAATGAAAATTGAAAGTTGAAATTCTTTTATTACACCTTCAGTTTTTTTAAACCTTAACTATTTGAAGTTTATGAATTCTAAATATGCCAAATAGTTTTACGTGTTCTATTTTAAGAATACACGGGGTGATGCAGGGCTGGTGTAAAGCACAAAAAAAATTGTTCGTGCAGGAAAGAGGACTGAAAAAGAATTCGCATAGCAATTCACAAGAAATTTTAAAGGAAAATAATTAAAAATTTACTTGCATATTATTAGGCGATGAAGATTGTGCTACAAATTTTAATTTTTAAACAAAATTTTAACAGTATGAGACGATTCTACACATTATTATCCAAAAATTAACCAGACTGTACCCTTTCAAAGTTTTGGAGGTTTGATGTAGTAAAATGTATTAACAAAAGTTGTAGTAACAAAGATTACATTACATTATAAACGTTACATGTTACAGAGAATATTATTGAACGAATGGCAAGGATATCGAAATTATTGTCTTTGTATCTTAAAGTTGGATCTATCGCGATTTATGTAATTCAGCTGTGAGAGCTCTGCAATCGTAATTTATATTTCTGTAGCCACCAGAAATATTAATAATATAAATTGTTGCCTTACCGAAATCGAACCATTTTATTTTTATTTCACCTTGCATAACTTTTCATTTTAAAAAACCACCATTGCAAAATTATTTAAATTTAAAATTCAATTTATGTTATCTAAACATTTCCTTTTATTATTATCCTATAATTAAAAAATGTAATTAAAAATGCTGTATAACACAAAATTGTTGAAAAAATTCGGCTAGAAAATGTTAAACAAGTAAAACAAAAATTTCCTATTGAAAATACAACAATAAAAACACAAGGTTTCATTACTAATGTTCGTTTGTTTTTGTAGAAAATTTCATAAATTTCATTTTATTTAAATTTTAAAAATAATTGGCGTGATTTAATTTAAAGTGGTTAAAACTATCTTTGAATGAGAATTTAATTGTATTTTGTTTGTTTTGTTTCCTTTCTTTTTTATATAATTGTGTTTTGCTTTGTGATTAAATTAAATTTTGCCAGAAAATAATCAAGGAAACAATATAACCACTACTATGAAGTGGCCTTAAATAGAAAAATAAAATTAACACGAAACAAAAAATACCAACGAAATAATTTTTTTTATACCATTTAAATGCACTCATTCCCGCCAATATTCAAACCCAAGTTTAATTTTTTTTTCTTTACACTTTCCATTATTATAAAGACCATATCAGATTTTCATTTTATTGTATCGCTCAGATGCTTCCAAAATATACATACATACAATATACGGGGAAGTGTAAATAAAGAAAATAAAAATTCCAAAAGATGGAAAAAATTCCTATTTTCTTTTGTATGTTTTTTTTTTTATAAATAATAATGAAACTTACCAGTGCGGCAGGTACATATGTTGGCACAGTTTCAAAATAACCATTGAATGTATACGATCGTATAAGAAAATATATTCCTAGAAACATTGCCCCTAAAAGACATGAGAAACTTCCGCATATCAAACAGCAAACTAAGTATTTCTTTTGGCTTCCAGACCGTGGTGCTGCTATTAGAAGAAGAAATAAAAATAAGTAAATATATTTATCTACATAATGTAATATACAAAATGTTTGTATGTATGTATAAAAAGCAAAAGAGTCAAAATATAAAAATTGCAAATTCAATGAAATTTATAATATGAATAAACAAATTTGTATGTATGAATGTATATATACAAATGTACAAAATAAATACATAGCTACATAAATTTTAAAATATGTAAGGTAACAGATGCTGTACAAAAAAACAAAATTGTATTACTAAAAGTGAAAGAATTAAATTTTTAAGATAACGTTAGGTGAGTACCTTTAAAAAGTAAAAACAAGTAGCCAACAAGCAGCAAAATAATATGAAAAAAAAAACTGACTTTAAAAAAATTATAGTATAAAAAAAAATATTTCAGCAATTTAAAAATTCAATTTGTATGCTAAAGGTGCTGAAATAGTGTTTCAACCTTTAATCCTTTTTTATTTTTTCTGTAATTTCAAAGAAAATTTATAAATTTTTCTTCCTCATTCCACTTTCATCTTACTCTATATAAATTTTAGAGTATCATTAAAATTTTTGGAAAATGTTTTTTTTTCATGTAATTTTGTAATTTTAACAATATTCCAGTGTTATGGTAGAGATGATTTCCTCATATTGTAAGAGAAAACACCAAAGATTGATTTGGTACTTGGCTCCTTGACCTAAACTTATTATAAAAATCAAAGAGTTTTTGAATTCTTCTACTTCACAGATGATTTGGAAATTCAAAAGTAATCGCAATAAGTAGGAAATAGCACAGCATAATTTGGAAACTTTGTCTTGATAATTAGCAAGACAAGAAACCAACACCATTTGTTGAATTTTATTAGCCATTTGACATTTACAGATGGCTTACTCTATCCAGTTAGAATTCAACTATTAATGCCTATGCTACAATTTTATAATTCACTAATAGTTTTGAGAATATTTTCCAAAAAATTTTGGAAATGAGTTGAAAAGGTAAATAAGCCAATAATTAATCTTTTTCCTTTTAAAATCTTAAAATAACTTAAGTTAACCTTTGTCTAAACCTTATTTGCGAAGCATAAGACTTAAAAAATCAATCGTAAAGTACAAACCATGCGTTTCATCGTATAAAAACAAAACGTTGGAATATTTCTTTCCTTAGTTTTTCTTTAAATATTCCTCCTAAATATATGCAACAGAAGGAAAGGAGAAATTTGTTTCAGTAAGCAGCACAAAATGAAAGAAGTTTAAGATTCAATTATTTAAGAATAACTCAAGATCTGTAACAAAATTTTACTGCGTATGTGAATATCGTTAAAACCGAACTTACTCTCTTACTTGATTTATTTTAAGCACATCATAGCAAGCAGAAGAGATAAATGTAATAAAAAAATCCTTTTGAGATTTTTCACTCCTGGTTGTAATCGTAACGTTTTAAGTAAAAAATTATACATTGAATAAGAATTTCATTTTTTTTTATAGAATGTTAAGTTGTTGAAATTAAATTCTAAAGTTTAACAGATATCTTACCTATATTAAAAAAAATATATAAAAAGTATTAAAGTGAGAAAGGATATTAGATATGTAGATTCAAAAAAAAAGGAGAAAAAAAAGTAAAAAGGTTTACTGTAATTTTATTTTGTGAATGATGGAAAATAGTTTTATTTTATGAGATCCTTAACTTTATGTAAAATGTTTTTAATAAATAATTAGATTAAAATTAATTCCAAAACTAAAATAAATATCAAGTGTTAAATTACCAAACGCTATAGGATGATAGCTTTAAATAAAAATAACAAATTTTAGTTGTAGGAACGGAAAAATTAATATTGTTCTTTATTTTGAGAAAATATTTGGGTTCCTGAAAATTTCTGGATCAATTTTGATTTAATAGTTACCGTTAGAGGTTTCTGAGGATTTAATTACGAAAATTTTACCTTTTTAAAAAGACAGCTAAAATTTTATTTAATCGCAAATGTATAAATGTTTATAGATTTTTAGCCCCACTTATTATCAATAATTTTTAATTTTCCGAAAATATCTAAAATGCTCACATTTCTACTGGTTTTTCTTATATTTTTCTATATTTCAAATATTGCTTTAAATATCATTCCTCCATTTGAAATTGGAAATCAACTCAGCTATTACATGAGGAGTTAAAAGCAAAGTGGTCTAACCCTCCCTCCCAAAATTTTTTTCCCAATATGTCGTTTAGGCCACCTTTGCACTGGAAAGAATTAAATTTTCGATTTAAGCCAAAAAATGATAACGGAATACAGGAAAAATATTAATCTTTTGTCGATAAAATTAAATTTGGCACTAACGAAAACGAAAGAGGAAAAATTTTTGGAGTAAGTGTTAGGCCTCTAAGCCCCTAATATGAGGTTGCTGGTAATAATATTGTCAAGTACAGAATTGTATTTTTCAGCATTATAAACAAAATGCACGTTTGTAGGATATTTTAAATGATTAAAAGTAACAATAAAACAACTGGAAAGAAAAATTTTCATAATGCTTAAATGATGAATGTTTGATTTACTCACAGTTTTAACGTAATATTTTATTCATTTATTAAACCCTTAAGAGAGATTACACATTTATAGCTGAAGATTCATAAGATTTAATTTTTTTTTCATACAACCATTTTTGAAAATTACTTTTTAACTGTCATACATGTACATTTGTAAATAATTTTTCTTAACTCGTACTTTTGCAGTTAATGTCATTTAATAACAGTTAATATCATTAATTTGCAATTAATGTAAATAAATAACATTGGATTCTTTATATTTTGCGGTACACGTATAATTTGCCATTTCCGGCCCTAATTAGTCAAACAATATCTGTTTTGAAATAATATAGTTCTAATAATTTGGAAGTAGATTAAACAGCTGTTTTAGATTATTAAATATCTTTTGAAGTACAATTCTTAAAGTCAAACCTAACCAACTGAATTCTTGATTCGCAACAGCACGACAAATTATGCACAAGCAGGTATCACAGCCGGAAATATGAATTAGCTTGAATATTTTTTTTAGTCACTTTCTACGATAATCGGCCCACCAAATAAATCATAAAAAACTTATAACAATTACTTTTTTTCCATCCTAGAAATTTTCAGTTAACCAGCCATGGATTATTCTAAGAAAGCAAAAGTTTTTCTTTTCTTTTAATCTTTTTATAATTTCGTTTAAGTATTATTGAAAATTATTAGTTAGCAAACCACTTTTAAAAATTAATAAATTTTTTACAACGTAAAATTATTTTAGTCTTAAGGAAAGCAAACACTTTTAATGCAATAGCAATAAAAATTTTCTTTTCCAACAATAGCTAGTAAATTTTTTATTTATTAACAAAGAAATTTTTTTTTTACGAAAAAATTTCTTATGTAAACACAGACTTTGTACTATAGAAATTTATGTAAGTTCTGGAAATGAAAGAGAGAAAAAAAAACTACAAAAGAGGATCTTAAAAATTCAAGTCCCTTTAAATCTTGAATCCTTTCTCTTCTTCTGTACGAGATTATTTTAACAGGAATATGAATAAAAGCTATAGAGGAGCCAGCACAGTTTTAATAATAAATTATCCAATCATAAAAATAGTTTTAATCTCTTTTAAAAGCTGAAAGTTTTTGAACATTACGTTCCGTATTTTGTTGAACTTTTTTATTTAAGAGAAAAGACAAAGGAACAAAGTTTTTGGTATTTCAAATTTTTTGAAGGTCATAAAAATATTTTATATTCCGTATTATGTAGAAAAAAAAGTCAAACTTTATCAGAACACTGCAATCACTATAAAATTATAAATTTTTTTTTGCGCACGTGGTTTGCTAACTGCTTTTGTTCTAGATGATTTTTTAAAAATTTCAGAAAATGCGGACGGAATAATAAAATCATTCCTATACTTTGTACTTCATTCACATTGAAGATAAACAATTTTATATGGCATTCTAAAGCCGGCGTTCAACTCGACAGTTCATACTCAACGAACAAGCTCTCTTTATTGTTTCCATATTGTGTTCAGCTCGGTTATATCAAATCGGAAAACAAATTCACAGTAATTAATTAAAGCTCCAAACAGAATGTGTTTAAGTTCCAAACAGAATGTGTTTTCTCGTATATTCTGTAACTACATCAAAATTTTTAAGTTTATAGTTATGCGCTCACTTATATCTCAAATCTTTATTTTGAAATTTTGAAACAATTAAAACAATTCAACAAACAATTAATAAACAAACAATTCGGGTTTATTAATATTTTACTTAATCTGACCATTGGTGCAGTGGTTATGGCACCGGTCCTTTAACCGAAGTGTCTCGGGTTCAAACCCCGGTCAGGTCACTATAAAAATTATATTCAATATTATTATAACTCAATATACAATACTAATAAAAATATTATACAAGTAATTTTCAAATATTCCTAATATTCGATATTAAAAAAGAAACAAGTAAAAACGTTTCAGTCGGTCTAAACCGATTGAATTATACCCTGCACCTTTCGTTGTTGTATAGCAATTACTCAAAACTGTGAAACCATTCTATAACCTGTGAAACCATTCCATAGAAACTTCAAGGATATGTCTGACCTATACCTGGACACACAACTGCCAAGTTTCATGAATCTGACTTAATTATTTTGCCGAATATAAAAAATTTGCTTTTGGAGTTGTATGACAGCCACCCGAACCGGTGCAGCTATCCCATTAAAATTTTTAGAGCATATGTAAAATATAAATGGACACATGTATACAAAATTTTATATTTGTACTTTTATTAACTTTTGAAATATTTAAAATAAACTCTTTGAGTTGTATGGCAGCTACCCGAACCTGTCAAGCAATTCCACTAAAACTTCGCAAATATATCTGATCTATAATTGGACATACAACTGCCAAGTTTCATGAATCTGACTTGATTATTCTTCCAAATATTTAAAATTAGCTTCTGGAGTTGTATGGCAGGTACCCGAACCTGTCAAGTAATTCCACTAAAACTTCAAAAATATATCTGACCTATAATTGGACACATGACTGCCAAGTTTCATGAATCTGACTTTATTATTTTGCCGAATATAAAAAATTTGCTTTTGGAGTTGTATGGCAACCACCCCAAACCAGTGCAGCTATCCCATTATAATTTTTAAAGCATGTGTAGTATATAATTAGACACATGTATACAAAATTTCATATTTATAGCTTTATTAGTTTTTGAAATATTTAAAATAAACACTTTGAGTTGTATGGCAGCTTCCCGAACCCGTTGTCTGAATTAGTCCAATAACAATAGGGCTCGTCCTTGGCACAAAAGAAAAAACTTGTGAAAGTTTGGTGTCGATTGCATTATTCGTTTTTGAGTTATCGTGCGATCGGACGGACGGACGGACGGACGGACGGACAGACGGACATGTCTAAATCGACGCAGAATTTTACGCTGAGCAAGAATATATATATATGTCCATACCGCAGATGACTCCTTCAAGTAGTTACAAACTCCATACCAAAGTTAATATACCCTTCACGAAGTGCAGGGTATAAAAAATATTTTACTTATAACTATGATTTTATCTTTACATCCAATGAGTTTATTTTAGAGGCAACATTGAAACCATTTCTTTCCTATAGTTATAAGGTGCACTTTAATGCACTTTCAATCTCATAAGTTCATTATGTTGTATACCTCTGACATATTATTAATAAATTTAGAAGCATATCCGAATTTTCCATTTCTGCTTATAAATCAACGATTAGTATGTGGTTCATTATTATATATGAATGAAATATTTTAAGAACAATACAAAATAGACTAATAAATGAATATTATTTCTTGAATAAAATAACCAACAAAAATCGAAATTCTTATTACGATAGTGAAATAAATTTAAAACTTCAATAACTTGTCATGCATTGTATACGTTCAAATTCAGTTATACATCAGGGTTGCTGGGTACTTTAACACAACTATGAAAAAATTACATACTTATCTTTCTACATTTTCTAATTATTTTTAAAGAGCTTTCTAATGCAAAAAAAAAATAAAGGAAAAAAAATTGCAGAAGAAAATTGAAATCAAGATGAAAATGAAAAAAATTCGTGAAGTATTTTTTCTTATATTCTCGTTTTTGTTAATTTTAACTTACCAGTTAATGATGACATGAATAAATCAGCTGTAGATGGTGATTGTACTATTGATGTCATCCTATAAGCTGGTGGAATTTCCATAAATGGATTTATTCTCATATTTTTCATATGAAATTTTTAATAATAATCCTATTTAATATTATATACCAATTATTATTACACACACACATACATTTATGTTTAATTGTTATACTTAATTAATAAAATAATTTTATAATTTTTTTTAATTTTTTTGTTTCTATCTACATAATATTTTCACAATTTTCAACATAAACCTATATGATAAGTGATAGATAATTTTATTATTTTAGTTTTTCTTTTTCGAATCCTTGATTCAATTTTTCAAATTTGCTATATTTCAGTATTGTTCTGTGTAGTTTGAGAGTATTCTCAATTTACTAACAATTAATTTAATTTTTACATTTATTTAACAATATAGTTTCCTCCTGTCATTATTTCTTTGTCAAAATTTTCTTCCTGTTATGTTTTCTTATTATATCTATACGTATAACAAGTAGCGCAATCTGTATTCGAAATTATAATCTCTTTATTGTTATTAAGAAATAATTTTTTATTGCAAACATATCACTTTAGTTAAATGTTTTTATAATTTAGTAAAAAGTCAGCATATAGCTTCCCTTCTACACATTTTGTTTAAGTATAGCTCCTGGCGCGCTACTTGTTCCTTAGAAATACATATTAAGGTTTATCAATATAATAATGTAACAACATTCATTTAAATTATCCTTTCACTATATTATGCATATTTATATTTCTAGATATTTTCTTCATATATTTGCATGTAAGCATTTATCTTTGAACATTATTATTATGTATAATATCTGTAAATTTAATAACCATTATAAATATTCAACTTTTCTTGCGTATCATTACATACATTTTTAACCGCACTTATTATACAAAATGTATACTATATGAATTTATAATAACACATATGTAAAATATACACAATCAAGCAAACAAAAAATTTTATACACATTTAAGATGTAGAATAACATACGATATTGTAGGTATTCATTCGTATGCACATTAAATTTTTCTCTCTTTTTTTCGATTTATTATTGTTATTATTATTATTACTATTTAACATAATAATATGTTAACATTGTAATATTTTAACTTTATAAGAGAAAGAGAAAAAAATATGTGTATTTTGTGTGAGTATATTATGTCTGTAATATAATATAAAAGCCTTCTTTTTTTTTGCTAAAATAATAAAGGATCGGATCGTCTTAAGTGAGTGATTTTTCTTTCACTTTTGTATATTTTTCTCTGTTTTTGTTTTATTTTAATAGCATTTTATCAAAAACGTTTATCATTATTCCTGATAAAATACAAATGTATAAAAAGAAAAATCCCGAATTACATATTATCATAAAATCATCTTGTTTATATATCTATCAAAGAAATTAGAGTTGCCGTCGATATATTTCGAGAGGATCACCTTAATATTCTAATGTAGAACAAATTTTTATGCATTATTGTTTTGCTAAAGTTGTTTTGAACAGTTCAATGGAACAATAACTGTTAAAATAATTGTGTTTTAATATTTTACAAGAAAAACTGTGCGATTTTCTACATACTAGTCAGTTCAAAGGATAGCAATAATGTTTTTTTTTGATTGAAAATGTTAAAAAATTAAGACACGACCATTTAATTCCAATTTTCTCAACAAAATTTTAAAAAATTTATGAAATTTTAAATCTCATTCAAAATAAACGTCTTATTAACACTCATTTATTACAATTGATATGTTACCTTGCAAGACGAGTAAATTACATTCAATTGTACTATACAGAAAAATTTTTATTGTTAAAAGTACGGCAACATCATTTCTGATCATTTTCAAAATTATGATTTAATATCCAATATTTTGATTTTAAATTTCAAATTTTTTGCACCAGCTTTAGATTTGAGAAAACAACAGAATTCTGCAAAATGAAGGATTGAGTTTTAATTGTAACACTAGAAACAAATATATGGAGAAGAAAATTGCCCGAAATGAGGTAGAAATATTGGAAAAAATTTAGTTTGCATTAGCACCTACACTAACAGTAAAATTAAATAAAATTATGAGATCATAGAACATTACACTCTTGCTCAAAAAAAAACGTTGAATGTGAAAAATTTCATTTTTAATGTGGTCAAAACCGACGGCAACTTTGATATTATGTATGTAAGTAGATATCGCCATCTATAGTATTCTATATTTACTTATTTTTATTATCAATTACTCTCTTCTTAAAGGAAAATATTATTATTACAGTTATTCAATTTTCAATAAAAGTCACACTTTTGATATGTGAAATAAAAACAAGAAAAAAAAATTAAAACACAAAATTTAGGAAATCTTGAACAAAAACAACAACAATTTTATAAAAAGGAAAACGAAAAAGTGATGAAAAACTGAAGTAACGGGAAAAAGAATATTTTTTTCTTCCTATCTCTTTCACTTTATGTTATTTTTTTATTTTTTTGTTTTTTCTTTTTTTTTGACTTTTTTTTCCAAGTAACAACATGACAACAAAGCAAATTCCTCTAGAGGGAAAATTTTCAATTTCTTGACTTGTTATCTTTGTTTTTGTTGTTGTTTTGCGTTATCACTGTTACTCGAAGGACTTTTTCTGCTTCTTTGTATTTGTTGCTATTTTCTCCTTTATTTTTCTTTTCTTTGTTGAGTTTTATGTCTGTAAAAACAAAATGAAAAAGAAGAAAAGTTCACCCTTTAAAAATCATAACTTTAGGATATATAAAAATATAAGTATGTATAATATATATATATAAAATTAATACAAATAGATGTTGTACAAATAGATATATGTATGTATGTTTATGTAAAAGTAAAAATATCATGAATGTATAGTAGAACGCGGACTAATATAACCTTGCCTATATTAAATAAATAATGAAGAATATTTTTTGTAATTTCAATATTTTAATTAAAATGATAATTTTGCCAAATTACGATCATACTAATTAAAACTAGGACGTAGAAGAAAGGAAACAATTAAAATTTATGTGTTTGAGACTCTAATGAATTCCAAAAACCCATTCTGAATTGAAAAAAAATTATTTTTGAATGCGGTACGATTTAAATTATTTTGCGATGGTGTTTATTTTAATGATAGTTTGACAAAACAAACGAATTGTTTAACTTCAGCTACCGAACCCGTTCAATTTTTACTACCGTGAAAGTGTCATAGAAAGTTTTTGGATCATTTTCGCATAATATATTGTATTGAGTTTATTTTTGAAATTTTTCTATAGCAATTTTTCATTAACACGCTAATATTGTACTAGTTTCATATTGGCTTCTGATTATTCCTATATTCGGAAAACGAACACATAAGTTTTCAAATTGTGAATCTTTCAAATATTATTACAGATTCCAAAAAATGTTCTCTAACTACAGGTTCCGTTCTGTACCCAGTGAGAAGATAAAAACCCATATTTTTCTCTATAAGTCGAAATTGTTGATTATCTACTGTATGTCACAAAAGGAAAAAACTTATGAATCTGAAATGTTACAAAAATATATTTTGTGCGTATTTTCTTCTTATGAATTTCAATACGTTGTGCACATTCACATGTACTACATAAACGTAATGGAAAGAAGCAAATACAAAATCTTTTAAAGGATAATCAAATGAATTTGTCCTTCAAATTTGTTTTAAAGAAAATACAAAATATCAAAAAAAAATATTTTATGAATTTTTTCCTCTTACAAACGATCCCATAACAGTTTTGAATGGTATTTGCATAAACAAATAATTTTTTCTATCCTGTCATAAAAAGACTTTGATTATTCTTTTTTTTCAATTTGTAAACGGTTATTGCGGCCAAGGTAATGTCTTAGAAATATTTTAAACAACACATTGTTTAAAACATTTTACATCTATCTGTTATTAAAGGAATACCCTACAAACACTATGAATTATATTCTAATTCTGAGAAAGTGTAAATTATTCAAAATTTTATTTGCAACATCTTTTGATATAAAGTATACCAAGTATACCAAAAAAATTTCAAAAGAGGTTCCGTAATCACAATATTGTTGTGAATTTTTAAAATACAGGAGCATAGAGTTGTAGGAATTGAGAATTTTCTCACATTTTTTTCTTATGGTATTCCGGCTAGCTTTCGTGTTTTCAATATAGTTAAGAAGTTTTGTATTCAAAAATAACCTATGAATTTAAAATAGAAGATTATTTAAGATTTCTAACACAAAAAATAAAATTTTAGCGTTCATTCTTTCTAATTGACCTTTAAAAAAATTTAATACAACAGTAAAAAATTCATGGCTCAAAAATTTTTCTCCGATATCTTTTTTTGTTTTCCTAATTTCTAAAATAAATTTAATATTAATTTAGTAAAAAAGATTTTTATTGATTACGACAACTTAAAATTAAAATTTACGAAACAAGATATAAATTACAAAAAAATTTTAAAAGATCGACCTTTGCCTTTTAATTATAATGGTCTTAAATTTTAATTTCTTTTCATTACAATGAATGATTTTTAAAGTAAATTTTTTACAATCTATGAAATTCTATATTGATTTCTATGCTTACTAATATTATATCAAAAAACAAAAAAGATCCGAAAACATGGCAAAAAAAAGAGAAAACTTTCCCAAATTTCATTTAATTTTCTTGTCTCGGACAATATCGTAAGATTCATTAAGATAAAATTTCAGAGCAAAATTTGAAGGTTATTATACTTTTTAATCATTTCTGGGTATTAGTTCTAATTCTGATCCCATAAAACTTCATTAAAATCCAAATTAAAAGGGCTTGAAAAGAAATTAAAAAAAAAACAAATAATAAGAATGAAAAAAGAAAATTCAAAAGGGTATTAAATTTTTGTCATGACTCCCATATTTGAGAAAATTTCTTAGATGACATCATAATTTTCCATGTTTGTCTGTAATGTAATTATGAAAATGTTGCAAAATAAAATGAAAATTCAATTAGAACGTAGCTTTGCTTAATTAGATCCCAAAAACAGAATATTAAAGTGTATTCATCGATGCAAGTACATTGCAATAAAGTTTTGGTCATTTTATTGCAAATCATGCTGCATTTATAAGAAAACAGCTATACCAATTTGCTAGAAAAGTTGTCATAGACTTTATGCATGCACACAATTTTTCCGTAATTAATAAAAGGTGCTTTTGCTATGAAAATTTAAAAGCCAAGCAAGTCTTGACAGCAAAAAATCAGCAATAATTTTACTTTTAATGAATTTCACTAATACATCTTAAGATTTTCACAACATAAACCGAATAGAATACATTCCTTTTTTTGTTTCCCTTTCTAAGATACCAAAAAGCTTAAGAAGGTAAAATACTAAAAAAAAACAAAAAGAAAAAAGAAGAATAAAAAAATTTAATTAAGCCATTAAGGTACGTACAAAGCTTACCTAAGTTGTTGTCGGAAAAATTATTTTCAAAATTTTTTAAATTATTTTTAATGGATAGACTCTATCAATAATTTAAGAATAAATATGAAAAGACGTTTAATATGTTGGTATTCGTTACTTTGTAAACAAAAGGCTTTTGTTGTACTCTCTTATGTTGGATGTTTCTAGGTATATACATATGTATACTATGTGTGTGAGTATATAGTAAAAGAATTAAAATTATTATTTAAAGATTTTCTTAAATTCGAAGGCAACAATATGAATCAGTTTTTCGGGGAAAATTTAAATTTAAAGGTGTCTAACCAATATTTTAGGAATTTAAATAAAAAAGAAACTTGTATACGTCAATACCGCTTCCTTATTTTCATCAGTAGTTATTTAAACCTGTAATTTTAAAAAAAGTCAATAAATTTTCCTAAATCTATTGCATTTTTCCTAAATATGGTTTCATCACAACTACAGCACATTCGATATTCGAGAAACGACAGCATCGGTACAATATTTACAGAATGAAAAATATTTTCATTCTGTATGGATTTTGAAATTTGCCGAATCTGTTGCGCAGTGTTGACGTTGTTTATAGAGCACCAATAGTTTCTTTTAAATTGAAACAATTAATTTGTCGTTATAAACTTTTTGTTTTCTTTTCTTGTGTTTAGACTTTGAAAAATATTTTTTATTTTTTGTATTGAACATTGGAATCAATTGAGTACGAATTTTTATTATAAGATTATTTACGTACATAATATGAGCCAAGAGGTTCATTTTATATCATATTAAGTAAAATAATTTTTTTCTTGAAACCCATCAGTTCTAACTACCACATACATATATATTCTATTATTCAAGTAGACAAATTATGTTAATCTCAAAAAATATAAAACTATTTAGAAATAAAATTTTTAAATTCAAATATAAAAACGAGAAAAAAAATAGAGTTGACCTTGTCAACTCTGTGATACCCGTACGAATTTGTTATCCTATGTGCGAATAAAGATGCCATAACTAACTATCGGACAGACTATGACTTTAAGTTGCCGTATTACCATATTAATTTATGCAAAATTTCAGTACTGTGAGTTTTTCAAAATACTGTGTGTGCCAAACTACTATTTAATTTGTATGGAATTTTATCAAACACATTGGCCCTACTAATATATTCGCTTGTGTGAAATTTCAATACCATAGCTTTTATAGTTTCTGAGATATAGCCAAATAACTTTTGAAGTTGTATGACAGGTACCAGAAGGAGCGAAGTAATTTCAACAACTTTTATCATACACATTGGCCCTACTAATATATTCGTTTGTGTGAAATTTCAGTACCATAACTTTTATAGTTTCTGAGATATTGCCAAATAAATTTTGAAGTTGTATGGCAGCTACCAGAAGGAGCCAAGAAATTTTAACGACTTTTATTTACCACATTGGCCCTACTAGTATATTTGTTTGTGTGAAATTTCAATACCATAGCTTATTTAGTTTCTGAAATATAGCCAAACAACTTTTGAAGTTGTATGGCAGGTACCAGAAGGAGCCAAGTAATTTCAACGACTTTTGTGTGACACATTGGTCCTACTAATATATTCGTTTCTGTGAAATTTCAGTACCATAGCTTATTTAGTTTCTGAGATATAGCCAAATAACTTTTGAAGTTGTAGGGCAGGTACCAGAAGGAGCCAAGTAATTTCAACGAGTTTTATGAGACACATTGGCCCTACTAATATATTCGTTTATGTGAAATTTCAATACCACAACTTTTATAGTTTCTGAGATATAGCCAAATAAATTTTGAAGTTGTATGGCAGCTACCCGAACCGGTACTCCGATCATGTCCAATTTAAATAGGGTTCTGGCACTTACTACAATAAATCATTTGTGAAAATTTGGTGAACTTAGCTCAATTAGTTTTTGAGTTATCGTTCGGACGGACGGACGGACGGACGGACGGACAGACAAAGCTAAATCAACTCAGAATTTGACGCTGATCAAAAACATACACTTGAGTCTATATCTAAGACCGTTATTTCTTAGCGTTACAAACGGTAAGGCAAATTTAGTATACCCTTCGAACATACGTTCGTACGGGTATAATCACGACATTTTTAAATTTCGCATAATTTCTTTTACTGAGGAAAAATAGTGTTCCTCTAATGGCAATAGGCATATATGATTCATAAAATTAATATATTGCACACGCTCAATAAACATAAATACAATCAAATTACTTACAAATAATAAAAACATGTACACATACATTTTTTGTA